TCGACGAGTCTGTCATGCGCGAGAACGTAGTACTTCTCGACAGGCGATGCTGCCTCATGAACACTCTGGAGACATTCGGAATACGTGCGCTTACAGCTAACAACAGCTGTAACGGTACGTTTATCCTCAACAGAATCACCACCAAGCTCTTCAGCACTATCTTCGTTGTTCACTGATTCGCCTTCGTCATCAGCGTCGTTGTCGCCACTAGCAACTATGCCTTCGCTCAAGGAGACTGCCAATTGTTCCATGGGAAGTGCTGGTTGGAAAGATGATGAGCTTCTAGATGTCTTACGATTCTTCTTAGCAGCTAATCGCATTTTCTCAGGTGAAAGCGGCCCACGCTGCTTCCAGTTCCACACGAAATCGCGTATACGTGCAATGCCATCTGCTTCGCCCTCTCAATGATCTAAAAGATGCAGTAATAATTAGTGGACAACCTGAGGCTACTTGGGAAATGTATGCGGCCCTCAAAGTCGATTGGCATTCGACGGTTGCTGAGCATTACCAAAGTCAACTCAGCGAAGGCGTTCATTGTGAACTTCAACTTAGCCACTCTATCCTGACAGGAACAGCGACACGATCGCGTGCTTGGCGGCGTACCACTGTAGCACAAGAAATGATGCACATACAGGTGATAAATCCTCTACCCAGGAGGCCCCCTCACAAGCTAACTCTTTTCAACAAGAAAGTAGCGAGGCGTAATGATCCATTACACCTCTCTTAGATTGTCAATACCTCTCTGCTGGACTTGACCGTAGCCAAATATTGGTCGCCGTTGGCTAGATAGCCGCTAGAAGCACTAGAATGAGGCGACAAGGTACGAGTACGCTTGGTTCGGGTTCTACTAGCAACTCCAGACATGGCTGGAGGGGAAGTGCGTACTAAGACTGCACAGAAAATAGAGAATGTAGTAAGGTATGACAAGACAGATAGAGAGAGTAGTGATGTTGCACGTACTAGAGACGAATGGATACGCAGATGCGCAAGCTCAACTGGCGCCAGCCAGCTGATGCGTGTGTGCGCCGCACAGAAGCAACAAGCATCAGCATTGTCATACCTTGTCTCAAGGTCCTATCATTTTTCCCCGTAGGATGAACGTCTCAGACCGGGATATTTCTTACAATAATGTACTTAGCCGTCCGTTCCAAGATTAGTGTGATATACAAGGCCTGTATTACAGGCTCGTTATGGAGCGAGTGGTGTGACTACACCACACTTCACGAATGAAACAATACGCGTGGAATTGATCCATGCGTATCACGAGAGCATCTCCATAAACCGCGATAAGCTAGAATGCATTTGTTCGATGAGATAGGGCTATCACTGGGTTGTGATAATGGGTTGAGTAATAATCTTATAAGTCAGTAATAGTCGTTCTTTATCCGCGTTAGGTATGAGCATCGAGTTGAGAAGCATAACTGCTTTGAGTCGAACAGAAGCTTTGAACCGAAAAGTTAGTAGCTTCGTTAATCATCCCGATGTTGAACATTCTCCTCGTCGTCCTATTGATACGTGGTGGGGTATGTGCCTTCAAGATGGGCAACGTTCGTATGCAGATGAAGACGACACATTTCTGCAATCTTGACTTGAGGGACGTCAAAGGGAAACCAGTGGCATGCCACATCTCCAAGGCTATGGAAACTGAAGGGCTGGTTCTACCTGGTATGGATGATAACAAGTCGTTCACCGTTCATCGAGATGTCTTCATCGCCAAGGACGGTCAAGCGGTAGTTCAAGCAGCGCCAAGTCATCCGTATCTGTATATCCTCATGAGCCATAACGACACGCACTTCAGCACCTCCCAACTCTTCGATAGGCAGTCATTCCTCCTAGAGCAGGGAACCAGGCATAGGAATGATGCACCCAATGGTCGCAGGCTCAATGCCAATCTTACACTCGAGGATGATGGTTGGGTCTATAAAGGTTTGGTAGACGAAGGTGGACGGAAGCTTAACAAATGGGTCAGGAGTGGAATAGAAGGTGTTGATCCCAAGTCGGGTCTCAACTTCACTGCCCTCGCTCAGACTGGTGTGATCACTAACGCTTGGGTTCTCTTCCTTGACAAGGATCAGAAGCAGATGGTGAAGCTCTTGGGTATCAACACCTTCGAGAATGATAAAGTCTATCTCGAGTCCGAGGTCACTCATTGGGAAGAGCTCGATGATGCATTAACTTTGGATGTTGCCATGAAGGATATTCACGCGGCGTATGATATCGTGAAGAGCCACGATGTGGGAGCAGCCAAAGAAGAGGCGCCACAACTGGACGTTGAGTTCATCAAGAGCCGCTTGGTTAGCGAAGAGGCTCGTCTATTCTTTAATGACGGGAAGAGCCACGACTGGAGGTCGAACAAGACTCATATTCGTGGAGATAAGTCGGTAGCACCGATCGATTATTTTCGCCTCCCCAATGGCACCGCTGCGCATAAGTTCTTCCTGTACAAGTATCACTCTCCTCTACAGGGGAAGGATGAGGAGTTCCAATTACCACCGGCTTGCACGACCGGTGTGACCAAGTCGGTCAGTCAATTCTGTCTTTACGTTGGTTATAACTCTAACGACACGCTACTGGCCCTCGAAGTATATATGGCTTATACCGATAAAGTCATCAAGGAAAATAGAGCATACCTCAATGTCACAGTCCATTTGAAGCAGCCGGAGACGGAGGTGATATTCTTTGCTTTCGAAGCCGCTGGATGTGCTCTGGTTTGGGCTACTGATATTGGCTTCGCAGGCTTGCACATTCAAGTATGTCTCGCGGGTGCAGGCAGCGGTGGAAATGGCACTTACAGAGGGAGAATAGCGATGTCAGTTGAGGTCATAATCAAAATTGAATTCTTCCCCGTGTTGAGAGCCACACTCTCTGGTCAAATTGCGGTCAATGCGTCAGACAATGGTGATGTCGAAGCATATGGTAGTCTGGCCCTTGATGTCTCGGCGATAGTTATCGGAGCGGGTATTTCTATGGACATCTTCGGAAACACCGTTGATCATAAATCGGATATCTGGGAATTTAAATCCCACTTCAACCTCCACGTATGGGTCGATGTCCTCTTCTATGATCATGACTGGCCATGGAGTTGGACTATTTGGGAAGCTGGTCCTGTTGATTTGCGATAGATCGGCAAGCTCGTGTGGACGGTATATCGGGGGCATAGTTCCAGGCCCGTGTTAAAGCCTCATGGTTATCTCATACAAAAAATATTACGCCTTTGTCATGTATTAAATATTCTTGAAAAAATTTCGAGCACACATGTACTCGTGAAGTAGCATATTCAAGTCACAATGGTCATGTTAGTCGATGACTGGCTCATGATGAGCCGATTCTTTTATTTCACTTTTGTTGTCCTAGATGATGCACTACACTGCAAGTGAATGATCCGCTGCGGATCCGAACCGTAGCGCTCAGGAGAGTTGCAGTCCAGAAGTTAGCTGACTCTTTCCAGATTGCTCTGTCGTGTTTTGACTAGTCGAGTTTGTCACATAACTAACCACATCATTCGGCTCGGGTTGATGACCTATGTCAGAGCTTGACGACAAGCTCTGAACTTGTGAGATCCAAAAATCTCAACCTCGAAGTTCTGTCGAAAAACTCTCCGAAACTTGCAACGCTGGATGCTTCGCTCCGCATAAGTAGCAGCGAGGTTATGGGATACTCTTATCTGCCACAGAGAGTCAATTCGGTGCTCTCTGAGCCAGAGCCTCTGGCTTCTGACCCTCGCTTGACTACTCATGCTTCCCAAACCAACTTAAACCGGATGTGGGTGGGTGGGTTCAGGAAAGTCCCCAACACAGACCATTCGCTCGTTTGTTGACCTAGCCCAATGAATTGATCTTCATATACAAAAAATCTATCGGATTGTGATTCAAAAGAGGTGGTGCAGGCGAAATGAAAGAGACTCAAGACTATCTTCCCCATGGCTCAAGGCTAAGAAGGATCCGAGTTCGAGTCGCGGAAGTTGCATATATCATATATAGTATATATGATATATGCGACTTCCGCGAATTTATCGTATTACGACAAATGCGAATACCACAGTTACTACCAGTTCACGGCTGTGAAAAGAACGCGATAACGCGACATATCATGTGATATAACGTGATATACGATTCGTGATTTTTTGCGAGAGAAAAAGCGGTTTTCAGTAGCGTTTTTTTGCGATGTGATACAGTCGATTATCACTTCGCGTTTTCCACGGGTGCGTCCCCAACGTTATAGTTAGCCGAACCATCGAGAGAATGAACAGGTACGCATGATTCCCACATTGTCACGGAGAGTCGGTGACAATGTCACCGACTCTCCAGGATCGATTTCTCACTGTCCGATGTAATGCATATCATTTGTTCCTTTCTTTCTCCCACCTCCCTGTCTCTCCCTGTCGAGAGAGTCAGGTGGCTACATATTTCCTATTTAAATAAATGACATGGTTGTCTCACAATCAATGTTGGACCCACAGGCTGCGCGGCCCACAGCCCATATGCTCATCTCAGTAATCCGCGCAATCCCCTCACTCAATATGTAATCAAGCCTTCCCAGTATGCCATCAGGTCTCCCTAATATGCCATCAAACTTCCTTAATATGCCATCAGGCCTCCTCACTGAGCGAAACGCAACAGGGTCGCTTGATTGGTAGCCTTGATTAGAACAGCTCCAAGGTCAAGATGTTTGAGGTTTTTGATTCAACGAGTCACTCGTTACTAGTCTGCGGCAAAGCTGCGTGGCGACTCGAAGACTTCACTCATCTCGCATCGATGAAAAAATTATAGCATATAAATAACGAAGTAAAGTTGGTTGAGTGTCCGGATATCAAGACAACGCACTAACGAAAGTGTGTTCGCAATGTTCGCTCACCCCAGAATGTGCTGAATCTCGAGCACCTACGTGAGGGATACATGGCGGACCGAGACGAGTCATCCACAAGCTTTCGTTATAAGATCCTGAGGGGACCTCACTTCGGCAGGACGATTCTGTCCTGAAGGAAGGTCGCCGGAAAGTTTAGCTTGAGGAGAAAATTATTGGCGAAGGCCTTCGCTGTACCCTTAAGGTCCCATACGCTGTCATTGCCCTTGAGTGTATCCAAGGTCAAATGGAGGGAACCACCAACAGTACCGAGTTTAACGTCCTGGGTGATCGATGCTGTCACGTTGAAGCCCATATTCCCCCCATTTGTGGCGTAGACGTAGCTAGTTCTACTGGGCACATGCTCAATGTCCATAGCTTGGTAGTTCAGAACATATACTTTAAAGTGAGGATCAGCAACCATGTTTTGTTCCAGGCGACCGAGTAGCCCAGGCTTGGGAGATTCCAGATCATAGGTCGCCAAGGATATAGTCGCGCCAAGTCTGGTTTTGCGACCAAAAGCTACTATATTTGCGTCACCGCCAGCGTGGGCTCGCAGAGTTCTCGCAGTGTTGTCCTCGAACTTGGCTGTGAAACCAATAACGACATTGTCCTGTGGGTCTTTAATATCAAAGACATCAACAATGGCTGTCACTTCCTTCCCTGTACCAGTTGTATTGCGCTTGCCATGGAAGCAGTAGTACTTGCCTTCCGGGCGCATCTTCGGTGTACAACCCGGGGGATATGAAAAGCTACCGTCAGCCGAAACTGCTGCTAGCTGGGGGACTCCAGAGTATGAGGCAATACGCTCCTCATCTTGCTTGATAAGATCGGCCTCGTACTCCTTCAGTAGGTTGATGGCCTCTGGCGTGAGCTCCATGTCGTCGAAGCTACCGAAAAGAGGCTTCTCATCACCACTTGGACGGTCGACCACGATGCCTTCAGCAAGTGAGGTGAGGGCTATCGTAGCTATAGAAATCCTGACGAACATTTGTGAGGGACTGGATGAGTCTAAGCTAAACAACTTCACTCTCTCTGCTATTCGATTCTAATATCATAACTTGAGTTTGGTTCTGAGATGTCCATTGGACATTGTCCATGAAGGTCATCACGTAAAGTCGTGGACATTGTTCACGATTTCACGTGACGACGGGGACGCACAACGTGCGATGGAATGTCCCAGGTTTAGTTTCACGCGAGATGAAAGTTTGGTTCGATCACTTGAAACTATGTTCAAACTCTATAAGTGACATAACAATGCACAGTGGTGATACGTTCAGTAGTGGATCTGAACTCAGGAGTGGTGAGCTTTTGAAGTTTGTGTTAATCTGGTATGTTTGGTCGCACACGCAGCGTGTGACACCGTTGCGTATGTGACATCAATATCTGGGACTGGATGATTAGGGTGTGACGCGGTCGTAATGCGACCGTCGCAAGTGTTTGGAACGTCCTTGCACTATCGCACTGTGTGATTCAGTTGACTCTTGGTATCCTGAAGGCTTCGATGTGCTTCATAATGTGGATTTTTCTACAATAAAGGGTGAATATGTGAGGAGCGATCTAAAGAGTGGTGCCAAAGCAAAATATATTATCCGTACAAACTTCCTGTCATCCCTATCCGACAAGTTAGGAACTCACAAAGGAAATGCAGGGGGGAAAACCAAAATATCCTCCGAATCGGAAGCGGTTCGAATCTCAAACTTCGAAACATACCCGGTTCCGGGTAGACATCGATGAATAAACAAGTACGAAGTGAGCGAAATGCTATCAAAGTTCGAGTGACCCCTAGACAACGTACCAAGAGGGACATCGCGACCCTAAGGCGACCGTGACACCAGTAGCGACCAGAGCGTGCGGAACGTGAAGGAATAAACGGAACTTGGATGAGCTGGAGCTACGACGTCTTGCCAAAGTTACATAGAAACAGACGTATAGAGGCTGTATTCGACGCAACCTGTAGCCGCAGATAGCCAAAGATTGAGGTTTGCAGCGGTTTACGAGTGTCTCGCGTCGAGAGAAAGAGACAAACGTTATAAATGTGGAAAGGTTCCCCGCTCAAGCGATCAAAGAACTAGATTACCTGTGCCATGACTATCGCTCAACAAGAGAATAGCAAGGGTGAGGTTCCACACTCCGGACGAACTCTTTTTCTTTAGTGCCATGGGACGTAAAGTGCGCCCGCGTTCCCAAGTGATAACGTCCATCGGCAGTGGAATCTTCATTGCTTTATAGACGGGCGTCAGCGACAGGACCTTAGGACTCTCAGCTAGCTAGCTAGCCATTGGTCTCCAAGCGTTTCACCATACAGATCCTAAGATGTCTGTGTTATCTAGTATATTATGTTTCATTTATCTACGAAGTGGAGGCAGTTCTGCGACACGCGCAAACCTCGGCCATCTTTCGTCTATTAGTTTTCATTAGTGCTTAACTCTCATGCATTATAATCCCTCCCATCCGCAAACCGAGACTAAGGGCGAGCGGGAGTCTATACGCGATACACGAGTTAAGACTCTTGCTGGGCTACCTGCTACGCGTCTAGGGCTGTGTATCTGCTGTGCATAGCCAATCGCGAGATATGTAGGCATGAACATTCACAAAGCAACGAGGAGCGTTCCCGCTGGCCTCTAGCTATCGTAATCGACTATAGTTTAGTCGACTCTCAGTCCCGTAGTCTGGGGTTTCATCGCGTAGATGCGAGAAAGAGGTTCAGTGCACGGGCAAGGCGCCCGTCTAGGACGAGTCTCGTAGTATTGCAGTGGTACCACAGTAGTTGGCAAACACTATCTTCCAAGGTGTTTACAGATGACGAAAGGTGTTGTATTATTAGAACGGATGCTGAAATACTGTCTTTCCTTAGAGAATAGTGAAAATGGTGAGTACTAGTATGGATAGTATTCACTAGTAATACCATGCCCCACCCAAAATTTCATATCTGAGATTGACTTCTCAGCGGAGCGGAGCACAACACGACCCGTAATTTCCAGGGGCCGTATGCGGATCCTGATGCAGCAGGTGAGTCAGAGTATTTACTCAGATGAAAAAATCAGATGGTGAGTAATAACCCCTGATTCACTGATTTTTTTCCTCTGGAGCGAGAAATCAGGATCATCGCGAGGATATGTGGATCCCTGAGCTGATTCGAGAATCTAAAGTTGATTTTTTGGCTGATTAATACTCTTACTCAATATGCCCCGCTCATGATTTTTCGGGTTATTCCATTGAATCGGAGTATTTTCCAGAATCAGGGAATCAGAGTTTGAATCAGACATTTTTGACAAGAAGAAGATTATAGTCGCTACGCCCCAGAACCGAAAGTTACAATTTCAAGAAAGGAAGAAAACGTCACCCTACGTGGGTAGAACCTGGCAGATTCGCCCCGAAGGCATGTACATCTCCCGTTACGCTACAACAATGATAGATTCTTAGAAGAAGATCTTTTGTCGCACTTGCACACATCCGTACTTCAAACTTTTCAATATGTTCACTCGGAATCAACTAATTGGAGGTCACCAGATACGGTGACCAAAGTTGTTTGCAATGTAACAAAAGGGGGAGGATAGTCTAGAGTCAAGGCAAACGCTGATCGAGGCGAGCGCTCATTGAAGTTTTGTATGACCAGGAAGCTAGGCTAATAACTAATGGGGCCAATAGAAGTTGGATGTTGCCTGTCGTTTTAATTGATAATATTTTTTCCTACCAACCCACCCATCATCTCAAATGGCTGACTTCGACCAAAATATGCAATCCTTACTGCTATCGCTGAAAGCCAGTGATGCCGTCCGAGGGAAACTCTCAAAATTAGGCCTTACTACGGTACATCTTATGGCAGCAGTGGGTGATGAAGATCTCACAAAGGCGTTTTCCTCAGAGGCGGACACTGTTACTACACGAACCACTGCGTTCGCGTTGAAGGCTGCTGCAAAGTTGTTGGTATCTAGGAACGACGATGTAGTCCCACTACCCGGTCAGCCCGATGCCTTGCTTCGATCTCTTGTCGAGGCCTGCCAAAAAACGGTGAAGGATGGTCCTCCACCAGAATTCTTCCCTCTGCCAAGGCATATGAAGAGGTTATACGTGGCTCCCTTGACTTATTTGGACTTTGCAGAATTGGTCCCGTCTCGGAATCAAACGCCGGCCTCAGCTATCAGATATGAAGTCAGCTTGGACGGATCAGTGGTGGCAGTCCAGAACAACAACAAACTGGGAAAAATTAGTTCCTGCAGCGACTGGTTCTCTGCCTTCTGTGTCTGGGCGACAGGTCTACTCATGGTTAGCTCTAAGGAGAGAGAGGACAAGTTCTCGGTAGATCCGTTCAGTCTTTTAGTATATGCTAACCGTATAATGAGGTTTGCGACTATTGGAGGCTTTACTGGGGCCTACAGATATGATGCGGCCTATCGTGCCAAGCTAAATGGTTATTATCTTCAAGGTTGTGAAGTGGCAAGCCTACTCCGTTCGGAGAAAGATCCGTCGTTGTGGTCATGGATATGCGCAACAAATCAGTCACAGGCGACTTCAAGCATTCCTTCTTCAAGTTCGGCAGCGCTGTCGTCAACAAACTCTCGAGCGTCACATCTTCCGAATAAGCGGAAAATATGCTATGCACTACGTTATGGTGGACAATGCAAGTTTGGTGATGCATGTGCTTTCTCTCATGACTTTAGCAAGAAGGAGAGTCCTACGCCGCCGCCATCTAAGAAGCCTTCTTCTACTAAGCAGTCGTCGAGTTCTTCATCACGTACGTGAGAAGAACCTTGGTCCTGTGCAGCTAAGTGCTGCGGACAGGAAGAGTTAAAAAATGTGTCATAAGTTCGCACATTGGATGTTATTTTCTGTCTTAGTGATAGAGTAATGTGTTGAGATGAGGGGCTAGTTGAACTGGTTTTTCTCTCTAGTTACAATTTAAGGCCACGATGCCAAGACGAGGCACATATCCAAAGATGCGCCGTTCGGTAAAAAAAGTTCCGCATTCTGTTGCGGATTCCTCTTCGTCGGGCACCAGTTCTGTGATGTTACAGGATCCTCTGTGGATCTCGAGCCATGTGGAACACATTGTCCGCGAGTCGCATGAGCTGCTGACTTCGGAAAGATCCGAGAGACAAGCCAAGTTCCAAGACGGATCCGGTTTCCGTTTTGTCCCCGCTCAGAAGAAGACCCACCACTGCCCTCTCTTACTGGCTCTGATTTCTTCGGTTCTTCAATCAGAGTTACCGGATATCCTTCGGCGGTCGTCTGGTCAGCTATCACCCGAACATCAACGTCAAGTTGAATTCTCTACGTCACAGGTAGCGGCGGAGGTTCTCTCGACTTGGGAAGGCTCTGGGCTGTGCACAAAGACAGCCGAGGTTGGAGGTTCTCTCCGACCCTGGGTATTGTCAGCTCTGGCGACGGAAATAGATGATGTCGACGTCTCCTTGAGTTCAGCCTTGAATGAAGGAGTCAACGTGGGCTTTCGTTCTGAAATCCCCCCTATATCATCCGATAACCTATTGCCACCATTCCAGCCACGCAGTCGGCTAGATGAACCACCATCTCTAGTGTGGTCAGAAGGCAATTATAGGTCGGCGTCTGACCCATCAGTCCACCAGGCAGTGTTAGATGTCATTCACAAGGAAGTGGCCCTTGGTTATCTAGTGGTGGTGGCTTCAAGTACGGTCCAACATAAATGTAGGTTGGGAGCGATACCAAAAATGTCTGGAGGGTCCTATACTGGAGCTGTTAGACTTGTGGAGGACCATCGTCGGTCTGGACTTAGCGGGTTACTACACCAGTCTGAAAGCTGGCCTTTACCATCCTATCTTGATTTATTCACTCTAATTCAGTCTGTTTTGTCTGAGCACTCAGGTATATCAATAGCGCAAATAGATATTTCGAGTGCGTTCAGACACATTTTTGTTAATCCTTTGGATAGACCCTATCTATGCTATACTTATGAAGGTAAATGGTTCATGAACAAGGCCCTCCCGTTTGGGCTACGCACAAGTCCATATTGGTGGTGTAGATTCAGTGGTCTTATGCCGAGGATAACCTTGTATCTTCTACGTTTAGCATGTGGAGATAAAGTTGGTATGTTCGGTTCCTTGACGTTTGTGGATGATATCACAGTGTTACTCTCATTACTGGCGCATTTAGACATCGCTGCCGTATGTGCTCTCGTTATTGTTTTATGGACAGTTGTTGGAGTCCTAGTCTCTTGGCCGAAGTTATTCTTGGGCTCCTTCATGCCTGAACAACAGGGTTTCGCCACCAAAGTGTTAGGTTACATGCTGAATTGTTCAGACTCTGGTTCGGTATCACTATCGATCCCTCGCGAAAAACTACATATGATGATTCAGACTTTGCAAGATCTTGTGGCACCAACTACAACGATGGTATCGGTCAGATCCCTGCAACAGACGGTCGGTCGCCTACAATGGTTTGCAACTTTGCTCCCCTTTGTTCGCCCAATGCTGGCTTCCTTCTATGCAGCGTTAGGGGTATGTACCAGGAAAAACCTACATTTTTTCCCGTTGCCACGGTCAGCAGCTGTTCGAAAAGATAGTGGCAGACTGCTGAAGTTGCTTACGAGAGATGAAGAATGTCTACTGGTTCCAGTCCCGCTTCTCCGCTCTGCTGTAAAGGATTCGATCATTGTGGTGTCAGATGCAAGCATCTTCGCACTGGGTGGCTTCGTTGTTCTTCCTCAGAAGTCGGCTCATGGTGGGAAAGTTCTCTTCTACCAATGTATCATTGCCGACTTACCTTCTACGATTCGTCAACATTTGCTGGGTAATCCTTCTCGGGCTAGTTCGAGAGATATAGCAACGTTGGAGTTATTTAGCGCTACACTCGGCGTTCTCGTGGCTGGCGACCTCCCGGGGATCCCTTCCAATGCTCCTATTATTCTGAGGAGTGACAATTCAGCAGTCATAAGCATGTTCGCTAAATTTCACACTAAGTTGACGCGAGCTTTGCCTTTCCTCCAATGTATCTCTCACAGTTTTGGGAGCTTGCAGCGCAGAATCCATGCCTATCATCTCAGTGGTGTGCACAACGGCCTGGCTGACTGGATAAGTAGATCTGAAGCGTCTTGTCTTACGTTGTCATCTAATGATTTTCTCAATGAGTTCACTCCAGTGGATCTTTCAAGGGTTATCCAAGAAGTTTGTAGGTTATTTGAATCTATATAAGTCTACTCACCGACTGCACTATAGTTGCGTTGGACATTGAAGGAGTGGTTTTTCTTTTTGGTTGATTTCGATCATTGAATGGCAGCCCCGTTGGATTCACCATTGGATGCGGTAACTGATGGCGATTTACAGCAAGTTCTGCGGCAGCATGACTTGTCCTCATGGTCCTTATTAGCAGCACTCCTGCCTGCTGATGCGAAGGCTATATCTACTCATCTCTCGCCGGAGTCACAAGCACAGTTGACGATGCTTTTGATGAGAGCTCGCACTCATTTGTTGGCTAACCCTGGTCCGTCATCTATTGTCTTACCTACGGAATCGATTACGCCCGTGGTGCGGCTCCCCGGACCTGCCATACGACAATTTCGCCGATCGATGGTATTCAAGTCTCGTAGAATGATGAGGCGCAGTTTCTCCTTGCAGTCTGCCGTTTTATCACGCCCGACTGTCTTGCAGGGTGCAAGCTCATCTGGTGATATCTGGTCTTTCGTCGAGCAAGGCTTAGAACCGTCAACTCGCTATCAATATTCTTTAGTTGAACGCTTATATCTCAGCTCCGTGCCAACAGATGAGCAAGGGTTTCCTCTCACCGGTCCATCAGTCGTGCGCTTTGTGATGTATCTGTCCAAGGCAGGGTATGCCCCCAGTACTATAAGTACATACTCCCGTTGTCTCCGAGCGGTAAACTCGTATCGTGGTGGCTCATTATCTCCATCAGAGACACTCCTCATCCAAGGCAGCTTACGCACCGCTCGCAAACGGTACGACGGATCCTTTGATCGCAAGGCAAAAGTCTTTAGTGCTGTTCATCTCGAGAACTTGGCGGCGTTTGATGATGATGGTTTGGTGCCCATTGATGTCCCAGTCGCCGGTCTGGTAGCGGTTTTCGCCTTATTACGTTCGGAAGAAGTGCTCAATCTAAACCTTGGTGATGTCCGGTTTACTTTGTCTCCCCCTAAGCTATCCATGGCATTGACCATTAAGCGATCGAAAACAGATGGTGCAGCTGTGGGGCACGAAGTCACGGTAGCGTGTATAACTAACTCGGTCTCCTGCACGGACAAACTGTGCCCCATGCACCGGCTCTTTCACGTAGTCAGATCGAGAATGGGATCTACAGAGAATGAGTCTCCTCGAGATCTTCCTCTTTTCGTGAATCGCTCGGGTTGCAGGTTAACATACTCTGCCTTCCTCGATGGCATTCGCGTCGTTACCGGTGATCCATCTGTATCGACACATTCGTGTCGTCGTACCGGTAGTCATTTGATGGCCAGGAGTGGTCTATCAGTAGATCAGATCCGTGATTATGGGCGATGGAATAGTGACGCTGTACTTGGTTATCTACAGGGGGCCAGTTTGGGTGATGCCAGTAGTTATGCATCATTGATGGCTACGTCCGCCCGTAGACACTAGATAGTGTGAGCAGTTTGCTAGCTAATCAATTTAACAGTGAACCTTGACAAGGTATTTCTTGCGTTCGAGTTAGTACAATGGCCTACAAATACAATAGTATGGACCTAGTACACAAAGGGGTGTTTGGAGTGTGTGGCCAGTGGGAGATCTGAGTTCAAGTGGCTGAGAAGAATTATTCTGTCAGCCTCTTGTCTCAGATTGCGGCTCAGATGAGCTTCTGGTCTCCGAGACCCGAAAACTCATCTGACCAGCCACACAACCCATACCCCTTTGGTGCAGGTCAAACAATTGAAGGTCACCAGATACGGTGACCAAAGTTGTTTGCAATGTAACAAAAGGGGGAGGATAGTCTAGAGTCAAGGCAAACGCTGATCGAGGCGAGCGCTCATTGAAGTTTTGTGTGACCAGGAAGCTAGGCTAATAACCAATGGGGCCAATAGAAGTTGGATGTTGCCTGTCGTTTTAGTTTGATAATATTTTTTCCCACCAACCCGCCCAAAGGGAGATCTGAGTTCAAGTGGCTGAGAAGAATTATTCTGTCAGCCTCTTGTCTCAGATTGCGGCTCAGATGAGCTTCTGGTCTCCGAGACCCCAAAACTCATCTGACCAGCCACACAACCCATACCCCTTTGGTGCAGGTCAAACAACTCTGAGTTTCTAACTCAGAAGTTCTAAGAGGAAGCTCAGCGCTAGAGCTTCCTTCTAGAGCTTCTCGAGCTTCCTTTGAGAACCGGTAGCGTGATCGGGTGAGCGTTATCGGACAATCCCTCAAGAGGATCGACGAAGGGCATTAATTGTTTTTATGAACAATTAATTGACTTAAGGAATGCGTAGTTCACAGCGTGTGGTTGCATGTACTACATGGGCTATACCTCCATACATCGTTTTGTATCATATGACCTCATAGCTGAATAGGATAAAATGATACTTTCATGTGCTCGAAGCCGAGGTTCTATTCCCGGGCGTGGTTACACTGATACCCTGTATGTATTACGTGCGCTATACCTTCTTACACCGTCTTGTATCGTGTAATCTCACAGCTCAACTGGATAAGGATATGCTTCAACTTGGTCGAAGCCGAAGTTCTATCCCCCGGTTCAGTCATTCTAAGAACCTACTCGCAGGGAGCCGAGAAGGTCTACCGTGGCGCGCGCTGAAGTCGAGAATCAGAATCAGGGTTTGGTACCGGGGGTCCGGACCCCCGGTACAGAACCAAGATTAATCCCCGTGTTAAACTGTGAGCTTGTGCATCATGCATATGATCCCAGATCATGCTCAAGGTGAGATTGCGATCTTAAATCTGAGCAGCTTTGAGGTTGAGTAAAAGAATCTCGACTCCTGAGAATTAATCTCGAATCATGAGTAAAAATCCCAACTCTGAGTATTTAATCTCGAATTGATGAAATACTCTGTCTCAGTGCCAAAAACTCTGAATCAGCCATTGAGTATAGATTTGAATCTCGAATCGTGATTAAGGATCATGAATCGGATTCAGCGGCTGATTAAAATCAAGGATCAAGGATCTTGCTCATGTCATGAGCCTCATGATTACGTAATCTGGCTCTGTCTCAAGTATTCATACTCACAAATCTCGACTCGTTCTGCAAAGCTAAGAATCTGGATCAGTTCTCTCGAATCAAGGTGCGACTTGAATCATGAATCAGGATCAGAGCGTGAGTTGAATCATGGACTCAGATTCGTGAATCAGGATCCGCATACGGCCCCAGGAAGCTTAATCACGTAGCCCGAGTAGTGAGTTTGGCGCTCTTCGTCGGCCGTTCAGTGTCCGGAGACCAAAATATATCTCACGTTGCTCTTAACATCTTGCAGATGAAAGGCACCTCTCCACTGGAGAGTCTCCAGGGCATCTTTCAATCAGAAAGATACTCTTCATCTTTCTATCAGCTCTTCAGTCCGCTCTTTCTCGTCATTCCGGAGATCACCGTTGTTGCTATACATCAACAATCTCTACCCGAACTTCGCACCAATCGGTCGCCATTTCTGAGACCAAATTCGAATCTTAGCAACGGTGACCTTGGATATGCCTGGGCAGTATAATCTAGAGTGCCACTCGAAGAGTGGTTGTAAAAGACCGAGTGATCCAACAATGAACAACATCACAGGTTGGGCTCTTCAGCCCAGGATTGGGAGAATATATGTTTGGTTTGCTTAGCTGAGCTAATAAGTTCCAAAATTATGAGAATATTCTTGAATTATGGGAATTCCTGAATTGTGTTGATCTATGCGTACTGTGGACCTAGTCGGGACTACTATTCAGAATTCCTATTCTCAGTCATTACTGAGTACAATCATGAGTCCTCATCCATCAGCGTCTGTAGGTGTCCCGGATCTGGAAGCTTCTATTATAATAAAAGATACAGAAGGAGTGTTGGACTCAGGAATCCTCACACCAAGATCCGCTCGGAAATTGTCAATTTTAAATTGAGAGGTCGTCTAGTTTGGTATTCACCCACCGCTTGCGTTCTTACAGTGGGCCGCTGGCAGCAGCCATTGTACATATGGAAAAGTCTAATCGGGAGACAACCACTGTGGGATCCACTCTCCGTGCCGTTCTTTTGCTATGGAGGGTTCGCATCTCTTCTCTAAAATATGTCATCGTACCTGCGTCAACAACGTCTGGGGTCATGTGTACATTTGGCGTGTCCACTTTGGGAGCGGGTGGTGGCTGGATCTCGGTACTACCAGAGTATAGCAGTCTCGTTGTATATAACTTTCATCGGGAACTGAAGACCCTCCCGCAATCTCTACTGGATCTAGTTCTGAGTGATCCACCCCTAGGCAAGCCGGATGGTATGGTTCCATTAGAGTTGCTTGTAGGTTGTATCTGTTTGTTTGGCAATTGATCACTCTTCCGAGGGTAGTTTGATCATAAAGTTTTCTGATAACGAACCCTGTGTGAAGGTTATGTGGCGATGCTATAGGCTATAACCTATAGCTCTGCTCCGAGGATCTCGCTCCTACTACGACAGTTTGCTCTATTTCTAGCCAATTTGTCAGTGCCAGCATCTTATCGCGTAGAACATATTCCAGGAGAGTGGAATACGGCTGCTGACCATTTGAGTCGTAACTTTCATTCGGATGAGATTCCATGATCCTGGAAGAGTCAAGATATTTCCAAATATTTGGAGATACTCGACCCATAATCATAATCACTTCCTCTCTCGCGCTACTGTGTTGAGCAAAGCGTCTGGCCACCAGACATCTTTGTGCTGCCATCCCCACAACCCTCGCTCCACGTAGTTTATGAGTAACCCGAATTGGTCCCCGCTTACTTCTGTCACATGGCGGCCCATAGCCAGATCCAATCCTTCCAAGACCGTCACGGCTGGCAGAAGTTCAATGCCGAAGGGACCTGCGTTAAAGGCTCGTAGAGCATTTATCGGAGCCTCAACATCCGATAAGAAGGGAGTGCAAAAGTTTGTCTCGTCTGCATTCGCTGATAGCACTCGAGCACAGATGAGATCAGCGTCGGCACTGTACAGCTCCATTTGCGAAGCTAGGGAGTGTGCCCCTTACCCAGTTGAACTGGGCCAGTTCGCCTGGATAGTCTATTATCCTTGGTACATGCTATGACTGAAGCTAATAGCTTCAAGCTATGTATGCTTTTAGGACAATACAGAAGTATGTTACACAGATTTGAACTCAGGCTTCTCGTTCTAGACTCATTTCTATGGATGAGGTGGATGATTCGGTGCTCGGTTTGCCCCTACGAGCAGCGAAAAAGCTGCGCGGCTGCCATCAGATGCATGCCGAAACCCTATCCCGTGAAGACGTATTTGCTGTTGCCTCAGCTCTCCGAGCTACAGAGCCTGGAGCCGCAGACCTTTACCTGGTAGGCGTCGCAGGGTTGTTCCGTCTGGGTGAACTTCTACAAATGCAGGCGGGTGACACAAATCCAACATGGATTGCTGGTCGTTTTGCTGTCTCGGTCTTTATACGTCACTCTTAAGCTGATGTTTTTTGTAAAAGTTGTTACCGTGCAATTCCGTGTATTCTTGGAGGGACCTGAAACCCATGATTGTACATCCGAGCCTTGCAGCGCTCATTTGACCCTTTGACGCTCGCACTCAGCTGGTGCTCCGGATGAAGTACTATTCTCTATCTCTAGAAGTAGATTTTCAGCTATGCTCAGTCGAGCAATCATCTCGGTACGAGGTGTGACACAAGGTCATTCTACAAGTCACTCTATGAGACGATCGGGTGCTGTAATGTGTTTTGAGGCCAGGATGCCTCTAAATTTGTTAGACGAATTCGGTTGATGGTCCTTGCCTGAATGTATGGAGAAGATCTATCTCCGTGATGATCCACATTCTCAAGCTATCTTAGCCAAGTATGTTCGAGGCGCCTGCGTTGATGTGGCCCACTTAAGACTGTCTTCGAGACTTCTTCATCGACTGTGGTAGTGTTGTGAACTCATTTATAGAGTGACCGATTCGGTTCAACCAAGTTCTCTATCGTTTCTGAGTATGGTGGTGGATTTGAACCTCTGACCCCTCCTTGTGGCAGGGTTTGGTGGTAGGTCTAGGGGCACTCCAGGTAGCAAGCTTCAGCTGGATCGAAGCAGGAGGTGCAGAACGAGCTCGCGCCTACTCTGAACGGTAAAGATAACCTATCAAACAAGGAAGAATAAATCTTTCGGACATGATCACATAACCCACTTCAGTGCGAATGCAGCGGTTTTCTCGCCTAAGGCGTCAATGACGGGCTTGGACGGTGCAGAGATGATCCAATTCATTAGATTGAGAGTTGAGCGATCGATACTCCCTCTCGGCCTCTTAGAAGGAAGAAAAGCCGTCTCCAGAAACGCAAATATAATCTCCTGTGCGTGGCTATTTCACCCTATGTACCTGAAATTCCGGTCCTGAATGGTGCTCCTCACTTTCCACCAGCCTAACACTGTCCGATTTAGCGCCTCCGGATAAAGTGACCAATGGTCCGCCTTTCATGCAATCTGCATTTTTTTCTGAAAAATTCGACAATGTTATGATTACTCGAACCATCGAGGGAATAAACAGGTACGCATGTTTCCCATTTTGCCGCCGACTCAAGAGTCGTTTTCTCACTGTCCCGTGTTATGCATATCATATGTTCCTTTCTTTCTCCCACCTCTCTGTCTTGTCGAGAGAGTCAGATGACGGTATATGTACTACGTAAATACATGACATGGTCGTCTCACAATCAATGTTGGACCCACAGGCTGCGCGGCCCACGGCCCATATGCTCATCTCAGTAATCCGCGCTCCTTCACTCAATATGCCATCAAGCCTCCCCAGTATGCCATCAGATCTCCTCACTGAGCGAAACGCAACAGGGTCGCTTGATTGATAGTCTAACAGCTCCAAGGTCAAGAAGTTTGAGGTTTTTGATTCAACGAGTCTACAATATAGCTGCGAGCAACTCACGGTCTGTAGCATAAGCTTTGGACTCCATGTTCGATCAGCTTCCATCTGGTTTGATAACACAGATCGCCTAGTATTCTTGCTTTCTTTAGAACTCAACAGTGACAGGTCTTACGAATACGGCGTTTGTATGATAGTGGATTAAAAATATATACATACTACGGCGTTTTCATTACTTTCGATCAATCCACATAGCTAACAAGATAAGCGCCACACCTACGGCGTGGCATCTCAAAAAGCCTCTATACTCTAATACTCAAATTTGTGGTTAATATCATAACTCTTCAATTCATCATCATTCTCTTTCATCTATAGCTTTCAATGATCTACACTGGAGCGATTTCCTGACATAAGAAGGTAATACGCCGTGTCTCAAAATAGTCTCGATATAGTAAGGACTCGAAGACTCCACCCATCTCGCATCAATGAAAAATCATAGTATAGAATTAACGAAGGTAGGTGGTTGAGTGTCCGGATTTTGAGACAACGCACTAACGAAAGTGTGTTCGCAATGGTCGCTCACTCCAGAATGTGCTGAATCTCGAGCACCTACGTGAGGGATACTTGGCGAACCGAGACGAATCATCCACAAACCCTCGTTAGAAGATGCTGAGGGGAGTTTATTCTGGCAAGACGATCCTGTCCTGAAGGAAGGTCACCGACTCGGTGTGGTTCAACTTGATTGATTCAGAATTGACGAAGGCCTCCGCTGTACCCATAATGTCCCATACGCTGTCATTGCCCTCGAATGTATCCAAGGTCAAATGGAGGGAACCACCAAAAGTACTGATTGTATCATTATCCACAATCGCTGTTGTTACGTTGAAGCCCATATCCCCACCATCTGTGGCGTACACGTAGCTAGTTTCAGTGGGCACATGTTCCATGTCCATAACTTGGTAGTTGTAGATATATATTTTAAAGTGAGGATCAGCGATGATGTTCTTCTGCAGGCGACCGAGTAGACCAGGCTTGGGGGATTCCACATCATAGGTCGCCAGGGAAAAGGTCGCGCCAAGCTCGCTGTTGTCACCAAAAACTACAATCTCCGCATCACCACCAGCGTGGGGTCGCAGCGTTCTCGCAGTGTTGTCCTCGAACTTGGCTGTGAAACCAATAACGACATTGTCCTGTGGGTCTTTAATATCAAAGACATCAAGAATGGCTGTCACTTCCTTCTCTTTACCGGTTGTATTGCGCTTGCCATGGAAGCAGTAGTACTTGCCTTCCGGGCGCATCTCCGGTGTACAACCCGGGGGATATGAAAAGCTACCGTCAGCCGAAACTGCTGCTAGCTGGGGGACTCCAGAGTATGAGGCAATACGCTCCTCATCTTGCTTGATCAGATTGGCCTCAAACTCCTTCAGTAGGTTGGTGGCCTCTGGCGTGAGCTCCATGTCGTCGAAGCTACCGAAAAGAGGCTTCTCATCACCACTTGAACGGTCGACCACGATGCCTTCAGCAAGTGAGGTGAGGGCTATCGTAGCTACAGAAATCCTGACGAGCATTTGTGAGGGACTGGATGAGTCTAAGCTAAACAACTTCACTCTCTCTGCTATTCGATTCTAATATCATAACTTGAGTTTGGTTCTGAGGTGTCCATTGGACATTGTCCATGAAGGTCATCACGTAAAGTCGTGGACATTGTTCACGATTTCACGTGACGACGGGGACGCACAACGTGCGATGGAATGTCCCAGGTTTAGTTTCACGCGAGATGAAAGTTTGGTTCGATCACTTAAAACTATGTTCAAACTCTATAAGTGACATAACAATGCACAGTGGTGATACGTTCAGTAGTGGATCTGAACTCAGGAGTGGTGAGCTTTTGAAGTTTGTGTTAATCTGGTATGTTTGGTCGCACACGCAGCGTGTGACACCGTTGCGTATGTGACATCAATATCTGGGACTGGATGATTAGAGTGTGACGCGGTCGCAATGCGACCGCCGTCCTTGTACTATCACACCGTGTGATTCACTTGACTCTTGGTATCCTGAAGGCTTCGATGTGCTTCATAATGTGGATTTTTCTACAATAAAGGGTGAATATGTGAGGAGCGATCTAAAGAGTGGTGCCAAAGCAAAATATATTATCCGTACAAACTTCCTGTCATCCCTATCCGACAAGTTAGGAACTCACAAAGGAAATGCAGGGGGGAAAACCAAAATATCCTCCGAATCGGAAGCGGTTCGAATCTCAAACTTCGAAACATACCCGGTTCCGGGTAGACATCGATGAATAAACAAGTACGAAGTGAGCGAAATGCTATCAAAGTTCGAGTGACCCCTAGACAACGTACCAAGAGGGACATCGCGACCCTAAGGCGACCGTGACACCAGTAGCGACCAGAGCGTGCGGAACGTGAAGGAATAAACGGAACTTGGATGAGCTGGAGCTACGACGTCTTGCCAAAGTTACATAGAAACAGACGTATAGAGGCTGTATTCGACGCAACCTGTAGCCGCAGATAGCCAAAGATTGAGGTTTGCAGCGGTTTACGAGTGTCTCGCGTCGAGAGAAAGAGACAAACGTTATAAATGTGGAAAGGTTCCCCGCTCAAGCGATCAAAGAACTAGATTACCTGTGCCATGACTATCGCTCAACAAGAGAATAGCAAGGGTGAGGTTCCACACTCCGGACGAACTCTTTTTCTTTAGTGCCATGGGACGTAAAGTGCGCCCGCGTTCCCAAGTGATAACGTCCATCGGCAGTGGAATCTTCATTGCTTTATAGACGGGCGTCAGCGACAGGACCTTAGGACTCTCAGCTAGCTAGCTAGCCATTGGTCTCCAAGCGTTTCACGATACAGATCCTAAGATGTCTGTGTTATCTAGTATATTATGTTTCATTTATCTACGAAGTGGAGGCAGTTCTGCGACACGCGCAAACCTCGGCCATCTTTCGTCTATTAGTTTGCATTAGTGCTTAACTCTCATGCATTATAATCCCTCCCATCCGCAAACCGAGACTAAGGGCGAGCGGGAGTCTATACGCGATACACGAGTTAAGACTCTTGCTGGGCTACCTGCTACGCGTCTAGGGCTGTGTATCTGCTGTGCATAGCCAATCGCGAGATATGTAGGCATGAACATTCACAAAGCAACGAGGAGCGTTCCCGCTGGCCTCTAGCTATCGTAATCGACTTTAGTTTAGTCGCCTCCCAGTCCCGTAGTCAGGGGTTTCATCGCGTAGATGCGAGAAAGAGGTTCAGTGCACGGGCCCCTCCCAAAACTTCATATCTGAGATTGACTTCTCAGCGGAGCGGAGCACAACACGACCCGTAATTTCCAGGAAACTTGATCACGTAGCCCGAGTAGTGAGTTTGGCGCTCTTCGTCGGCCGTTCAGTGTCCGGAGACCAAAATATATCTTACGTTGCTCTTAACATCTTGCAGATGGAAGGCACCTCTCCAGAGCATCTTTTCATTAACTCTATCAGCTCTTCAATCCGCTCTTTTTCGTCACTCCGGAGATCACCGTTGTTGCTATACATCAACAATCTCGACCCGAACTTCGCACCAATCGGTCGCCATTTCTGAGACCAAATTCGAATCTTAGCAACGGTGACCTTGGATATGCCTGGGCAGTATGATCTAGAGTGCCACTCGAAGAGTGGTTGTAAAAGACCGAGTGATCCAACAATGAACAACATCAAAGGTTGGGCTCTTCAGCCCAGGGTTGGGAGAATATATGTTTGGTTTGCTTAGCTGAGCTAATAAGTTCCAAAATTATGAGAATAGTCTTGAATTATGGGAATTCCTGAATTGTGTTGATCTATGCGTACTGTGGACCTAGTCGGGACTACTATTCAGAATTCCTATTTTCAGTCATTACTGAGTACAATCATGAGTCCTCATCCATCAGCGTCTGTAGGTGTCCCGGATCTGGAAGCTTCTATTATAATAAAAGATACAGAAGGAGTGTTGGACTCAGGAATCCTCACACCAAGATCCGCTCGGAAATTGAGAGGTCATCTAGTTTGGTATTCACCCTCCGCTTGCGTTCTTACACTGGGCCGCTGACAGCAGCCATTGTACATATGGAAAAGTCTAATCGGGAGACAACCACTGTGGGATTCACTCTCCGTGCCGGTCTTTTGCTATGGAGGGTTCGCATCTCTTCTCTATAATATGTCATCGTACCTGCGTCAACAACGTCTGGGGTCATGTGTACATTTGGCGTGTCCACTTTGGGAGCGGGTGGTGGCTGGATCTCGGTACTACCAGAGTATAGCAGTCTCGTTGTATATCACTTCCAGCGGGAACTGAAGACCCTCCCGCAATCTCTACTAGATCTAGTTCTAAGTGATCCACCCCTAGGCAAGCCGGACGGTATGGTTCCATTAGAGTTGCTTGTAGGTTGTATCTCAGGGTTTGTCCATTGGGAAAATGGGAAAAGTTTCCCTTCGGAAATTTCCCACTTTCCCGTTCCCGGGAAAACTGCCAGTTTTTCCCTTGGGAAAAATGCGAAAACACCTCGTTTTTCTGTCCCTGAGCAGCGTAAACTACGGGTCATACTCATAAAGCGATCATTTTTATCCCAGTGTTCTTAAATGTCCATAGTAAAGTGCAAAAGCAGTGTTCTAGCCGTGTGAGCGATTTTTCCCACCCTGGGCGCGCGCTTCTCCACAAGTCTCTGAGAGACTGTCTCTCTATAGCGCGCTTATCATCGAACATTACTCTCACGAAATCTGACTCAGTTTTAGTTATCCAACGGTTTGGGAGTCCAAAACTTCGATATATACGATATCAGTGTTGAGTTGGGACATTGTTGAGGGCCAGTTGGCCGCAACCAAATGAAAATGATGCCTGCTGAGATGTTGTCGTGCCTTCCAGCTGTTCCAAATACCAAACGCTTCGAGTGGACGTTGGCAAAAGTGGCATGTGTACTTCCATCCATCAGGAGTACAACACATCTGGTAGAAACCATCAGGCTTTAACTCTCCCTTCGATGGATGGTCCATCATGAGCGATAGACGTAGCGTTTCAAAAAGCTAAGAACGAAGTCCCTAACGCAGTTAATCAATGCCCTGAATCTTCACTCAAAAACTTCGAGATTAGTTAGGATAAGGATCTCATCATACGTATAGACTATCCACTGATTATTTGAATAAACCTATGTAAATAGCTAATTGTAATGAAAAGCGCGCGCCACACCAATCGATTGATAGTAATAACTGGAACAATTAGTGAGAAATCATATCTAGGGTAAGTACGACATGGCCGCTGCCCTTGAAGACCACGAGAGCAGCATTAGGATAAGGACACCCTGTTCTATGACTATAGACAGCAACGGGTAGCAAGTTCTATGGTATTTGTCACTATTGATCGCCATTCTTGTAAGTTACAATGTACCCTGTTGTGTACAAGTTGTAACTATTGATATGACAATTTCTTCATCATCATAGTTCGGAAGGAACAGTATGTTCATGACCTTGACTTTGAAGGCGTTTCTGATCTGTCGATCGAAGTTCGATCATCGAAGTGTATCAGATGAAAAAGCCAGCCAGTAGATCCTCTTATCAGGGAAAAACATTTTTTCCCATTTTTCCATATGGGAAATTTCCCGCAATT